TAGTCACCAAATTAACACTTTTAGCGACTAATATTTTAGTCGCCGTTGATTGAGATTTGGCAACTAAAAAAATTTGTCAGCAAAAGGTACATTTTCTGCGACTAATCTGGTATTTTGGTCACCAAAAATTTGGGAGGGAATTTTGAAACGTGGGGCGGGAATTGAAATTTTTTATCTTTAGAATCTGTTAACTCACACTTTCTCATTTTCTCCTCTTTCATCTCCCAAACCTTACCCTACATGACCTCACCTCCCCCTTTCTCTTCTCTCACGCCTCACGCCTCACGCCTCTGTGTCTCTTCTCTCTCACGCCTCACGCTGCCCTCCTCTCTGTTACTAGACTCCTCAATTCTCACACATATTGGACTCCTCAATCACCACCGCCGTCTACGGCGCCGATTCTTTCCCTTCTTCTTTTAGCAAGTTCAATTCGGCTCTCACTGCTAGACTATTGAATCCCATGTCTTCACCACTACCTCCCTCCGACAAGGCCCGATCGAGCCCGACCCTTTTCGAAATGATGGCGAGCGAGCCCGATTCCATTCCCAGATCCCAACAGCGATTGTCAGAGATTTTGGGTTCTCAGAGTCCGGGAAGTCAGTTCAATGACCCCAATTCGAGCGAGCGATGTCACCAGAGTACTTGGATTGAAGGTACTAATAATCATTTGCACATTGTAGAGGAAACTATGAACTTTCGTTGAATTTTTAGATTTATATGTTTGTGCCTATTTGTATGTGTATATGAAATGATGGGTTCATTGGCATATTGTTCTGGTGGGGTTTTATAGGAATTTGAATTATGTTTGATAGTCTTGTAATTTAGGTTTTACCTGCAATTGGGTTTGATATGCATGTGTTTATAATATGATAAATTAATTGGCATTTTGTTCTGGGTTGTTAGGAATTTGAATTGTGTTTCATGTTATTGTAATTTAGGTTTTAGCTGCAATTGGGTTTGATGCTGGGGTTTTGTCATGTTTGGAGTATGTAGAGGATGCTCCATGGGCTGAAGATGAAGAAGAGAAGGTGGCTTCAGTATGTAGCTAATGAGAGCTTGGACAAGCTTCTCTTCAGTAAGTCCTCATCTACTTTTATTTTATTTTTTTTGGATGCAACATTTAATTCTTATTTATGTAGAGTTGAAATTGAGACACCAAAATTGAATTATGGTTGTTATAGTAGCAATTAATGACGAGTTTATTGAATTTTAGCTGTCATGGTTAGCTGCTAATTGAATAAACAAGTATTGTGTAGATGTATTGAAATTTAAGATATTGAATATGGTATGTTTCATCTTTTTAAATGGAAGTTCTTCATTAAATTGTTGATGGTGTCATAGTACCACTCAATGTTGCACTTTGCTAGACCTAGGGTGGTCTCAACTGCCTCATTCATATTCTCTGCATCTTGAAAAGAATCAAATCAGCTACTATGAGTATTTTCAAGAATCAAATCATCTTGAAGGAGTAGCCAATCGTTTCTTCCCTTACATTTGTGTTTTTTACTCAACTTTTTCCCCTAAAATGTTTTCCGCGAATATTTTATTGTATGGCTAAGGATGGTCTCTTCCAAATTTAATTATTTTCTCACTTTATGGGTGGAGGTCTTGCCCTCCCCAAACCCTGTTTTATATGATTGCCACATCACGGGGTGCAATTAATGATCCTAAGTTATAATTGCAGGTTTTGAGGTATGTAGAAGGTTTATGCTGGGTTTGCTGGTTCTACTACCATGGTGTCTACTCATGGCAATGGTCAGTTTTTGATTTAGTAGTAGTACGTATGTCAATAATGAGTTTTTGTAAAGACATTATGGCCAAAGAAGCGGTTGTACACCCATATTATGCAATATGCATTGCGTGGATTGGATGAGAAAACAGAGGATTTTGGCTCTGTGTCTAAATGGAAGTCAAGCAAACCATCCTACAAATGTGCACTTTTATAGGATCTTATTTTCAAGATAACATTGGACTAGGTAAATATGAGCAAATGTTTAATCTCCATCCCACCACACAGATGATATATACACATGTTTAATTAAGGAGGCTTATGCCTATTTATCAACAAAAAAAAATCAAAAAATTAAGGATGCTTATGCTTGGTACTGTTTTATGTTGTGTAGATTGCTGCCTTTCAGTGTACTTGCATTTGAACTAAATGTCCTGTTTTTGCTTCAAGTTTTATCCATATCATTATGCTAAATGTCCTTTCGACTAGCTAATGGGAACCTTGCCTGCTGCAAGGTCTGTATTACTTTCTCACTCTGTCTCTCTCTCTCTCTCTGCTGCTGCATTCAGTACTGTATGAGCTTATCAATTTCATGTTACTGTTCTAGTGCTCTGCCTGAAGAGTATAGGAGATTGATGACTGATCCAGCATCACCGATCCAAGAATTCTACCCTTTTGGTTGTATTACTTGAGTTTCATAGTTTTCTATTATTTCTTTTTTAACCTTTTTTTTTTCCGACACATGAATTTATAGCACACTATCTAAATTGTTAGTTAACTTATATTTATTATATAAATCCCAGCCACAAACACTCAATGTGTTAGTTGGAAGCTTGTCATTGTGATGCTCTAAATTATCAGAGCCTCAAATTATTTTGGCATCATCTGACAAATGTTGGCGTATGATATAGGGCTTACTTTAGACCTATGTTGCTGTTAGATAGTTTAGGGTGGTGGTTTTAGCTATATATTTATATGTGTGGTGTTTAGTGGGTTTGACAGTTTGAGAGGCACTTAGTGGGTTTGACAGTTTTTGGACATAAATATATTCTTTTAGTTGTATTAGTCTGAGTCTTATTGGTTATGAGTCAAATTGGAAGAAACAACTTGTATTGATTAGCAATCATGTTTGTTAGTAATAGATTTATGTCTGATAGTTGTCCATCTTCTTTGTATGACAAATTTTGAAACCCGGTCTATGACATGTTCCACTTCGTCCGATCTGTATTTATAGTGCAAGACGTTTGACCTGTGTTTATAGTATAAGAAGTTTATTTACTTATTCTTCCTTTATGCAAGGAAAGGAGCCCAATGTTATTGTCTTATTAACACTTCCTAATCTATTAGAAGACAGAACTACTTGACCTAACAAATCACATTCTTCCCATGTGCGCCGCACTGCAACCCCTTCTTTAGGTACCCTTTTGTTGGGGTGTATTGCAAATCTCACTTTATAAATTGTTATGACTCCTCTCTTTGTGTGTTTTTGTTGTGTATTGAATGTGTTTGATATGTGGATTTTGTGGACAAACTCAAAAATGGGTAGTGATGATAAACTCTAAATTTGGATCATTGGTTGAAGACTCCTGAACTACTTTTAGATCCAATTCAACACTAGTTGAAGACTCCTGAACTAATAGAATGAACTGGGTCAATTCTACGTGACATGTATCAATAAAGTTGAATTCTTTAACCATCTTTTGTGCCTTTAAATTGTTTCCAATGTCTGTTTTGGATTTGGCTTTGGCTAATTGGATGGTTTGGAGTATTTGGTGGTTCAACAAATGCCAAGGTACTTGTAGCTTCACTTACTGCATTAGAATCCATTTATTTCCTTTTATTTTTCATGTTGCTTTCTCTTACTTTTGAACAATTAACTTCAGACTAATTGTTACAAATGTTGTACTGAGCCTAGATGTTTTGCTAAATAGTCATATTTCAACACTCAAAATATATTGTAAGGATGCCCAATAACTAACTAATTATGGTACAAAAGCTTTTCCTTGTTCAATAGGATCTGATAAACCATACAAACCAGAGCCTGAAGGTGTTGATTTATCTTGATGAGCTTGAGCCGATGTTGAGAAGCTTGCTTTGGTTATTGACTAACATTGAACTTGAGAGAGGTTGATGTACAAGCGCCCAACTGCATTGCAAGATAGGACAAGGGATAGTGATGAGGATGATCTTAAAATCTCTTCAAATTTGAGGAAAAATATGACTGTTAGAAATTTGGTGAAACATTTGGTTCATATTTGATTTAGTAAAAAGAAAAATTTTCCCTATCCATTAATTTGATACAGATTTGATGAAATGGCTGTAGCACACTTTTAGCCATTTTTTGGTCATATTTGAATTTTATGTAAAAAATTGATGAAGGATTGAAAATGCTCGTACACACACAAGTGATGGGTTATTTTTTTGGTGGACATTTGATTGGAGTTCTGTTTATGTTTGCTAGATCTAGTGAGCAATTTCTCAAATGAAAGGCTGTTGCTTGAATTGACCATCAATACTGTTCAAATTTCATGTTGTTTACATAACCTTGTGAAAGTACTTAGTTTTTGGTTATTGAGAGCAAGACAGTCTTTCGGTAACACTATCTCTAATCCTGAAGCTGAGGTGTTGGAAGGAGATGAAATTAAAAGGCGGTTTGTGATCAGACATTTTGGAATTCGAACTGGACTAAAGCGTTTCATGTTTCCAATTGAATACTTTTTACTCAGTTGAACGAAAGAAAAAAAAATAAAGAATTCTTTACTCAATTGAACAAGGTTTGTGTTCATCCTGCGCTGGACCGCAAGAAATGCATAAGACTATATTTGTTTATCTTTCTAATGCTAAGCTTATACTTGGAAAATTCTTATAGTGCTTTTAAAGTTGTTCTTTTCGACAATTTTCTTATTTGGATTGTGTTTCTTATGAATTTTCTATTTATTTCTTTTCATGGGTAAGCTAGTTGTAGTCCTGCATTCCCTAGTTTGTAATCTTCACAAGTGAAGAGCCGAGTTACAGAAATGTAAGTTTTCATTGACCTCAAAAGGTAGCTGCAAAGGAGAGTGAGATTTGATATGTTGAACTCTTGTACTTACTTTTTATATTATTTTTCTATATCATTTAACTTAAATTACTTATGAACAATTATATTACTTACAATTTTACCTAGTTTTTTATTTAATTAGTCTCTGAAGTTAGAGTTGATTTTTCTTCCATGCACAAATCTTACTACTTAAGCAGTTAAAGTCTTGGCTTCTGGCTGTATTAAATCATGTAATATTGTTTACATATAGGCTATGACATCATGAATGCTTCCCTCATTCTTTTCATTTATTAAAAAAAAATAACTTTCCTCACTTTTTTAATTGTTCATATGCAGAGAACATGGGAACGGGCAAAAATGGCAACTACATTGGATCATGTCGGTACGACTTGAGCTTCATCTTTTTGTTTTGGTGCTAAGGCTCATGAATCATATCGTTGTCAGAACAGTTGCATCTCTCTTTTTGATGTGCTTAAAGATCACAAACTAAACGATTGGTTGCTCTACTATACTCATCCTCGGATGAACTAGTTCCCTCAATTCAGTATCTGGATCATTGTTTTGAGTAAAGTTTAAACCATAAATAATAGTTGTGCATTGATGATGACATTATTGTATATGAAAACTGTTAAATACATCATTTTAGGATTTTTTACATCTTTTTGGTATGTTTGTGTGGTTTTTCATTGGTAGCTTCTTTTCTATGTAGTTGTGGCAACTGATGATGAAAAGATTGCTGAATGCTGTCGAGGATTTGGTGCTGATGTGATAATGACATCAGAATCTTGCCGAAACGGTGAGAACCATTTTTTTTCTTTGTTGCAACTTTCAACATTTTTGTTGGGTTTGCCAATACCTAATAGTGGTAATCAAATTTATAGGTACTGAGCGTTGAAATGAAGCACTACAAAAGCTCAAGGAAAAATATGATGTTGTCGTCAATATTCAAGGGGATGAACCTCTAATTGATCCGGAAGTAATAGATGGGATTGTCAAAGCACTGCAGGTAAATTTGTTTCTATTTGATTTTCTCTCAATGAAGTGTCACTATGACCTCGTAAACAAAGAATCTGTGCTGTTCTTTGCCTAAATTCAGAAGTTCCCTGATTGTTCATATCAGCAACATGACATGAATTCTGAACATACTGGAATGTCACAGTAGATTCCATGCGTGACTGATCTTAGGGTTCCAAAAGAGCACAGCATCTGTTGTCTTGTCTGAGTTTCACAAAGGAAAGCCTTACTCAAAATGGGAATGGGTTTGAATATAGGCTGAAACATGAGTTGAAGGGTCCTAGCTATGGTCTTCTCGATTCACCACTGCGAGATTTTAAATGCATGTCCTTGACTGGGTTATAAGAAGCCATTTCTGTCTGGAGTTTTCTAATTTACCTGGGAATAATTTCCACAATGTAAGGATGTGAATCCCTTCCCACCTCTGGAATACATAGTTGCATTCCTACTCTGTGTTAACTGCTTTCCGAAACTAGAAATCTTAGGTCTTATTTAGCATCAAGTTTTCAGCCTGCATACTAGTTTTTGGGTCGCTTGGGAGCAAGCTTTAGATGTCCCAGTTCTTTAACCGAAATATCAAATGTTCTTGATTATTCAGAAGTGGTAATTCTTGAAATAATAATTCTTGGTCAAATGAAATCTGTTAAGAGGCTGAGATATAGAAAGCTGTTCCTCTTTTTTTGTTTTTTTTTTTGGATTTCTGGCTGCTGTTGGTTTCTCACGTCTGTATTCCTGAATCCTCATGCAAAAATTCATTTGACCAAGTTGTTTAACAATTCATTTCTGGCTGCTGTTGGGATGAAATTCATTTGACCAAGTGGCGGTCACATGAATTCATTTGGAATTCATTTGACCAAGTTTTTTTGGATTTCTGGCTGCTGTTGGGATGGAATTCGGTGCAACAATTCATCACATGGTTATTTTTGCATTGCCCAAGTTGTTTAAGAAATGCCCACTGGAATTATGCACAGCACACTTGAATTATGCCACTACCAGAATTATGCACGCTTGAATTATCCCACTTGAATATTAAATTATGCAAACTTGAATTATGCCCTGTTTTTTTTTTTTTTTTTTTAGGAAGTGCGCACACAATTAAATTATGTTGAAAATTTGTAAACTTTTAAACCGCCAAACCGATTCGTATCTATCCGCCAATCCGCTCATCCGCTCAATCCGCATCCGCCGGATTGGCGGACGGATACAGATTGATTTTCTCCAATCCGCCAATCTGGCGGACGGATGGCGGATTAGAGGTTCCGTGGCCACAATCGATCCGCGCCCACCCCTAGCTAGTTGTCTCAATTCGATGTACATGTTTATAGGATTTAATTGATTTTTGCAAAGATACGGGTTTGCAATCCAGTGTTGCTGCCACTATCATGCTTCTCTGATAAATTTTCCAATTCTGTTTCTTTATCAGGTGCCTTACATCACTACTGCTTTGATGGATGCGAAGCTTGGCACGGAAGGGCGCAAGGATCTTTTTGATTGGCTATCAAGGCAACTTAGTGGATTAAGCAATTTTCCTGATGCTGTAAATCTGAATTATGTATTGTTTCAATTTGTTATGCTAGATGGATGTGACTTGTGAATGAAAACTTAGAATAGTTGTATTGTGTCGAATGTTAATGAATTATGTATTGTGTCGAATGTTAATGAATTATGTATTGTGTCGAATGTTAATGAATTATGTATTGTGTCGAATGTTAATGAATTATGTATTGTGTCGAATGTTAATGAATTATGTATTGTGTCGAATGTTAATGAATTATGTATTGTGTCGAATGTTAATGAATTATGTATTGTGTCGAATGTTAATGAATTATGTATTGTGTCGAATGTTAATGATTCAGTTAATTTGAATGATGCTTTAAAATTATAGGTTTATTATGGATTGAATGAATTATTAGGAATTACAGGTGTATTGTTTTCTTGCTTTGGCGACCAATTTAGTAGTCGTGACAAATAAATTATTTTTTTTCGCAAAAAATGACAATTGCCGACCAAGAGTTTTGGTCGCAAAAAATACATCTATTGCCGACCAAAACAGCTCTTGGTCGTGGAAACTCACTTTTGCCGACCAAAAGTTTTGGTCGCGAAAAGTAACAAATGGCGACCAAAACCTTTTTTGGTCGTGGAATGTCACAATTGACGACCAAACTTTTTGGTCGCGGAATGTCACAATTGGCGACCAAACTTTTTGGTCGGAAAAGTTTCACTTTTCGCGACCAAAGTGCTTTGGCGACAAAATAAATTAGTCGCGGTAATTAAATATTTAGCGACCAAAAATTTAGTCGCGAAATCCAACTTTTGTCGACCAACCACAATTTTGGTCGCGAATTACTTTTGCCGACCCTCAATTGGCGACCAAAGTAGCGACCAAAAAAATTGGTCGCAGATAACTTTTGCCGACCAAAAATAGACTTTTAGCGACCAATTTTGTTGTTGCCAAAAGTGTTAATTCTTGTAGTGGGTTAAGTAAAAATGGGTTTGAGGTAGCTTTTGAAAGTAACAAATTTGTACTTACAAAAATGGGATGTATGTAGGAAAAGGTACATATCTGATGGTCTTAAAATAAATTTAACGACTGTTGTACCCTACTGTTATTAATAAAAATACATCTTCTTCTTACTTGCTTGAGTCTTCAAATTTGTGGCATGGTAGACTAGGAACTGTTAATTATGGATCTTTGCATAGATTTAATTTAATATGGAATGTTTGCCTAAATTTGAAATTGATCCAAATCATAAATGTGAAATTTGTGTTAAGGTAAAATTAACCAAAACTCCTTTTCATTCACTTGAAAGAAGTACGGAACCACTTGAATTAATTCATAATGATATTTGTGACTTTAAATCAATTCAAACTAGAGGTGGGAAAAAAATATTTTATCATCTTCATAGATGACTATACTAGATATAGTTATGTTTATTAATTCGAACCAATGATGAAACTTTGAAAACTTTCATTCAATTTAAGATGAAGTTGAAAATCAACTTGGTAAGAAAATTAAAAACAAGAAGTGATAGAGGTGGTGAATATGAATCACTTTTGGTGAGTTTTTGTAAAGAACATAGAATAATTCATCAAATCACCCCTCCTTATCACCTAAACAAAATATAATTGTTGAAAGGAAAATAGGATTTTAAAAAAATGGTGAATGTCATGTTAATATGTTCTGGATTACCTTAGAACTTCTGGAGGGCAGCAATATTCTTGCTAATTATATACTTAATAAGTACCCGAAAGAAAGTGAATCAAACACCTTATGAAATGTGGCATGGGAGAGTAGATCTTACAAATACTTAAAGCGTAGGGGTGTTTGGCTAAAGTGGCTTTCCTAGTCCTATAAAGACTAAGAATAGGTCCTAAAATTGTTGATTGCTATTCATTAGTTATGCCATGAATAGTAGGGCATATTGGTTTTTGATTCATAAGTCAGAACATTCGAAATACTTGTAAATACTATTATGGAATCTGAAATGCATCTTTCTTTGAACATGTTTCTCTAATAAGACTAGACAAGAGACTAGTACTAGCAAAGATCTTATGATGCTATTACTAGATATGATAAGAACAGAAAAGAGATAGATCAAAATGAGGAAAGAGGAACTAGGCGTAGTAAACGTGCTAGAGCCTCAAAATCTTTTGGTCCAGATTTTTCTAACTTTTTTGTTAGGAAATGAGCCTTTACTTTCAAAGAAGCTATGTCTAGTCCTGAGGCTCCTTTATGGAAAAGAAGCTGTAAATAGCGAAATTGAATCCATTTTTCAAAAATCACACTTAGGAATTGGTGGATTTGCCACCAGGTTGTAACCTCTTGGGTACAAGTGGATTTTCAAGAGAAAAATGAAAAGCGGATGGATCAATTGACAAATATAAGGCAAGACTTGTGGTCAAAGAATTTAGACAAAAAGAAGGTCTTGATTACTTGACACATAGCACCAGTTACAAGAATAATATCCATTAGAATGCTAATGCCATTGCATCTTTGTACAATCTAAAATTCACAAATGGATGTCCAAAACAGCTTCTCAAATGGTGAGTTAAATGCAGTAATTTACATGGAACAACCAGAAGATGATTGATAGATACACTTCAAAATGGAGGGATATATATATTTTCAAGTTTGCCTATCAATCCTTTACAAAAGTTGCTAGTCTTGGGCTGAAATAGCTTGAGACCCTCTTTGAGCTCTAGAAGGTGATTTTGGCTTGATTTATTGCCTCATTTGTGTCTTCCCTTCAAAGAGGTATAAACATCTCCTTTTATACTGTTGTGCACACTTGCTTTGCCATCTTTTTCAAACTGTTTTTGGCCTGATTTTGAACTATAAAAAACTCTATTTTTGTGGCCTAAAGGTGGTGGTTTGAGGTCATTTCCAGTTAGGGGGTGTTCCACCCTTATTGCTTCTTTCTTGTAAAGTTTTTGTGCCTTTGTTTTCATTTTCAAACACAAATTTTTTGGGCCTTTTAACCATTGAATTTCAAAGGTCTTTCAGTGGCAAAAAAACGCATTTTGAAGTCCAAAATTAAAGGGGTTAGCCTTCCCTCATTGTGTCTTGTTTGCATGCCTAGTTAGCTTCACATGTTACGAATGTTTTTCTAGCTTAATTTAGCTCTAGTCCAGTATGTTTTGCCTCTAAATGTGGTAAACAAAATTACAAAGTAAAAGTGGCGCAAAGATATAGCATTTCTTTGAATGCATTGCATTGTTGTTAATCGGACGTTAATTTTGAACAACAGGAAAATGGACATTTCATGCTCCATGCGATGAAAATGTCCACTTTCCTTAGTCTCCATTGCCCTTGATTATGCATGATAGGGTGATGGCACTTGCTGTATTAAACTTGCACAATTGGTTTCACAGCCATTCATGTCAAGAAATTTCTTAATTTATCGGTTTATGAACCAAATTTTGTCCCTCCTTTGATTTCCCCATGAAAAGGAGAGGCAAAGTGGCAAACAACCCTTGAGAAATACACTGTTTTGGCTCTATTTCTCTTTGTTACAGGCAAGGGAAGTCCAAGGTTATCAGTGGCCGACAGCCACCACCCGTAGCCGACCAGCCACCATTGGTAGCTGAACCGACCCTTGTCGACCATCGGTGAAATTTAGTCCCGGTGTGTTGGGTAAGGTAGAGCAAAGGTGTTCTGAAAGTGGGTAGAATTAATTGGTGTTCAATGTGCAAACAGAGCGATTCAACAGCAAGGCAGTGACTTTCCGAGTGGAAAACGCATTCATGGGCCTCCTCGCTTTCCAGCGGATTAGACTAATTAATTTTAAATTGCAATAGATCAAATATGTGTCGTAATTAATTAGTTATAGCTAATTACAGTGTTTGTAAATAATTAGAAGTTTAACTAGTTATTAAATTTCGTTTTGTAATTAGATTAACTAGAATAGTTAATTAGTTCGGTTTTGTAATAATTAGTTAGCTACGTGTAGCCAGTTAATAGTTTCAAGTGTTGTAATAATTAGCTAGTTAGCTAGACTTAATTAGCGTTAGTTAGCTTAATTTATTCTTCGGACCCTCCTTCGCAGAGGGCGTAATGTGTAATAAGTGTGCGTGCGTGATGTGTATGTCTTCCAACCCTCACGTTTTCTTCCTTTTATTTAATTGATTTTGATGGTTAGATTAGGCGACATGTTTTAATTAGCATACCTCATGGCTTTGCCACCATTCAATCTTGTATTGCATTGCACCAAGGCTCGCGCATCATTCAAAACCTTGCATCATCTATTCAATAATCTATTTTTGAATACGTGTTTATCTGCGTGTTTTTAATTGGCTTCACAATGCCCATACTTAGTAGCCAGCCTATCTGATTTGACATATTGCAGCATGTTGTCTGCATTAGGCTTCATGTATAGTTAGGAATCAATGCATTATTTTCTAAACCTCATTATCTTCTTAGCTTGGAGTACCTAGGTGAGTTTTAGTGCTTTAGCATAATTGCCATGAGTGTGAATGTTCCATGTCTAGCATGCTTACCATGAGGCTATATGCTTTAAAATAGCTAAACTAGCATGAATGCCTTTATGGATGAAAGGCTTGTTGTTCTGAATTGGGAATGATTCAACGATTGTGCGTTTTAAGCCCATTTGTTGTAGTGGCAATCATTTTGTTTTAAGCCCACTATGTTTGGTGCAAATCCGCAAACTTTAAGCCCACTGTGAAGGGCTGCCAAATTCAGAACCCTTTTCGCCAGACAAATAATGAGTTGAATTGTCCAAATTGAGCAACTAATCTATACTTGCTTGTGCCGCATCACATAGTAATTGCTAGTTTAATAACCGGAATTAAGAATACATAATGTTGATAAAAATATCATATCATAACTAGTAAAAGGCCGATCTTCTGCATGCGGCGGTCCGTTGCATGCGGCAGGAGACTCCGACTCATATCTACGATCGCTCAAATCGCAGTCCTCCTCTGTTGCGTCCTGTTACCTTAAGTTCCCGAGTCGCGAGGACAACTTTTGTGATTGACGACACGTGTGGCCTTTGGCAACGAGTCAGGATTAACCTAAATTTCTCCCAAAATAAAAAAATATTTACCGGTGGACTCTATATCTGGCAAAAGTGTCCTAATTTTTGATTATTTGATTTAAAATCGATTTCCAAAAAAAATTTTTTCGAGAATTTGGACTCTTT